TTAGGTTGTTTCCAACTCCTTGCTATTGTGAACAAAGCCACAATAAACATGGGTGTGCATATATCTGCTTGGATGTCAGTTATGGTCTCTTCGGGGTATATTCCCAGTAGTGGAATTGCTGAGTTCTTTTTTTTTTCAGCATTACTTTTTTGTAAATACTTACACATCATCCACCTTATCCCAGGTACTCTTCCATGCATTTTTATAAATATTGCCTCTTCTCATCTCTTTACATACTTTGTTATACTAGCTTATTTAGAAAATTCAAATATATTGTTTTACATAACAGATTATTCCAATTTCCCTCACCCCCCCCTTTCCATTAAATTGTACAACCCCATGATTAATCCCCACATACAGCCTCATCCCTCTGCTTTTTCCTTTAAAATCAAGGCCTTTGTATCTTTATATTAATTTTCTATTTTTCTGCTGTATCAATATTTCTATTAATCCAATTTTACAGAGAAGAATACTAAGGTACTCAGAGATTAAGTAATTTGCAATGTTACAGCAAATAAGTAAATAGGCATGCAAAGAAAATCTTAAATATTTTTAAAAACCCTTGATAAATGGTTTGATAAAATGATTTTCTAAAAATTTCATCATTTACTTACAAAGTTTCAATACACTGATTTTCACAAAAGATATTTCACATTTCTTTTACCCCTCACCCATCGAATTGTGCAACCCTATGATTAACCCCCCACCCACCTTCCCAGATTCACTCCTCTGGTTCCACCCGCCCTCTCCTGGATCCTCACACTCATTCACAATAATGGTTTTATACACTATTTGTCCTTGTGGGACTGAGTTAGTTCACTCAGCATAATGCTCTCCAGTCCCTCCCAAGTTAGGAAATAATTTACAAATCATTGCTCCTGCGTACTGTGTAGTAGTCCATTGTATGAATGTACCACAACTTCTCAATCCATTTATTTGTGGTTGGACATCTGGTCTGTTTCCATGTTCTTGCGATGGTTATTAACACCAGCAAAATGGTCCTAATGAGAAAGAACCTTAACATGTAAAGATCTTTTGCTAATAAAAGAGTCCTTGGTGGCACAGTGGTTAAAGAATTAAAATG